TGAAGCGGAATACGTGTTTGGACCAAAAAATGAAAGAACTGTGAGCTGGGCTGAAAAACTAGAATTTGCAGAGTCAGTCACTCTTAAAGTGGGACTGTTAACCTGTATGTTCAGTTTATGTCTTGCTCTTTATCTCATTTAGTTAGAGAAATAGGCAATGACTTTGAAAATCGTATTGTTTGCATGCCTGTACGTTATATACATTTGCACACGCTCTCTTGAAAATTACTACTATTTAAATAGTATTTACAATATTTAAGTAGTAGTGTTTTTACAAATAACGCCTGTCTGTAGTTTGTGCGGTACTAGTTTTGGGTCTGACTCTCTTTCATTTACCTTCACTCCCTGAGGTCCCATAACTCCGTCAGGTCCTTGGAGACCCCGAAGACCTTTCTGGCCAGCTTCGCCATCTAGGCCGGGGAGACCAGCCTTTCCTGGAAATCCAGGGTAACCCTTCTCGCCAGCTCGGCCTGGTTGCCCCTCCGGGCAGAATGCACAGTCTCCTTTTGGGCCCATGTACCCGCGAGGGCCTGGACGACCACGTAGACCTGGCATGCCAGGGAGACCCTTTACACCTTTAGGTCCCTTAATTCCGTCTATGCTTGGACCTTCCTCACCTGGTTCTCCTGCGGGACCCTCAGGTCCTTCCGGGCCACGCTCGCCTAAAATTGAAAATAAATTTTCAATCGTATTTTTCACAGGAAATATATCTGTCAGATAAGAGTTGTTCCGACTTCATTCGGTAATCCCGTACAAATTATAGAACTGATTAGCAGTATCGAGTGAGTAGATGCGTTAGCGTTGAAAAAAACTTAAAAGTAAACGAGATTTGGGTTAGGAGATGGATGCTGCAGTCCTTTCAACAGTATGTCCAGAAAAATGGAAATCCTAAGAAGGGGGTTTTGCCTGATAACGTAGCTGCCAGCTTTCAGATGCAATGGTAACTGGGGAAGCCATCTCCAGTGAGGGCCTACTGATACCTACTATAATAATGTTTATTACAGAGAGCAGTTGGCGAGTATATGTAAGCTTTGAATAAATTCTCATTAGGTAAGCGTCTGCTTCTGTAATTGTCATAACAGAAGCAACCACCATTAGGTCGAGGAAGTCGGTTTTGTGTGCAGAAAGGAACCTTCTGCAAGTTCCGGGTCTGGCATGACCAATGTTCGCTTAAGTGCATGCACTCTTCTGCCTCCTTCTCTCTCTCTCTCTCTCTCTCTCTCTCTCTCTCTCT